GAAAAATAGGCAGCAAGGGGGCTGGGGATATAGTTCAGTTAGTAGAGTGTTTGTCTTGCCTTGGGTTCAATCCCCCACACCACAATTTAAAAAAAAAAAAAGGCAGAAAAGGACAAGAGAAGCCTAGGAATCATTGCTAATTGATCATCAAAGTCTTGGGAAAGATGTCTGGGTGGGCAGAATATCTACCACATGTGGCCCACTTGCACTGTAGTCAAGGCATCTTGGAATATGACCCATCCTGGATTTCATACCCTGGAGTCAAGTGATTTGCTGGGCTAATGTGTTGAGGTATAGCCTGTTCCTAGGGTATGCTGTGACAGAGCCTGCTCTATCTAACCCATTTCCCTGTATCTGAGGATGTTGCATTCCTAGCACATTTTATAGTTATGAACTGCAAGGGGGACAGATTAGGTCAGTTCAAGGCCACCCAGAGAACTGTCCTGTATCCCCCACCATGGGCCTACCATTCCCAAGTTCCTCCATTCAGATCTCAGCAGTCTTAAAAAAATATTTTAATGTTATTTTTGAAACATGAAATAATGTACAAAGTATAAAAATGAATATCTGCAAAAATATTTTCTTTAAAAGGTAAGAGCCTTTTGTTCAGAAGTCCTTAGGGACCTTCTAGAGTTTGAATTTTGAATGTCCCCAAATGGAAGGAAGTTAGGTCACTGAGGGGGTGCCCTTGAAGGGGATATTGGGACCCTAGCCTCTTCCAATTTCTCTCTTTGCTTCCTGTTCACAGTGGGGTGAACAAGCCTCCACTGTCATATGCTTGCTCCGTGATGCACTGTGCTGCCACAGGCCCAAGAGCAACAGGGCCAAGCAATCATGAACTAAAACCTGAAATGCAGCCAAAATAAATCTTTCCTCCTTTGAGGTTCTTATCTCAGTTATTTTGTCATAGCAATGGAAAGCTCACATAGGAGCCTGGGCTAAGGCTTTCTCTCATCTGATTCATTACTTTTCCACTTTTATCCCTTTCTCTTCCTTCCCCAACTAACCCTTTTCTTTAAAAGGCAGGAGGAGGAGGAGCCTTTTGTTCAGGGGCCTGAAGATAATTAGATAATTCTACCTTAAATCTTTCCATAGGGAAAGACAAAACCTCAGAGAGCCCGTCACTCTTTTTATTTCTTACTGTGTAGCCCTAAGTAAAGGGCTGATTATCAACTGGGTTCCCCCGCCTCCCTTTTTTTTTTTGGTACTGGGAATTGAACCCAGGGACACTTAACCACCAAACCATCTCCTTTTTTGCGTTTTATTAGAGGCAAGGTCTTGCTGGGTTGCTAAGTGCCTCACTAAGTTGCTGAGGCTGGCTTTGAATTTGCTATCCTCCTGCTTCAGCCTCCTGAGCCACTGAGATTACAGGTATGCACCACTGGGCGCCGTCTGATTATCATTTCGTTTGGTGCATTATCTGAATTGGCCATCTTAGCACCTGATTGCATGATACAGGGTGATGGATTTTTGCATGTATTCATTTTTAATGTCTGCAACTATAACTTATATACATTATTTCATATTTCATTAAATTAACATTAAATTTTTCTTTTTTCAGAATGCCATTTTGATCCCTCAAAGACTTAGGGATTGAACACTGGTGTCTCTGGAGGAGACAGTAGACGGAATCCAGAAGAATCTCAAATGTTGCAGGGAAAATTGCAGCACTGGGGCTTTGTGGTCTGCTCCCCTTTTAGGACTCCAGAAAGAATGTGCTTTTCAAAGTGCCCCTTAGGAAATGAGTGGGATAGATCACATCCTTGACTTTACCTAGAACTTTCCATCACGGAGATACTACACAAGCAGGGTGTTGGATGGAAGTCAAAACAGAACTCAAAGAATAGATCTTGGAGAACCCAGTCAACAGGGAAAGATGGGTTAAAAAAAAAAAAAAATCTCAGGAACAATTATCAATCCAGGCTTCTGCAAGAACAGAATACAGATCACCCCAGCTTGGGCATATCAGCAGAAGCAATAAGAAAATGCTCATGAAGCAGTTAGGAGTCAATTAAAATATACTGGATTGGACAAAGATCAAAAAACTGTGATGAAGTGACTAAATCATATGGGGAGGCTTAAAAACATAAGAGTTATCTAAAATTTATCCAATATTATCCTGATCTAAATTTTTTGTCTTTGAAGGACACTGTCTTTCCTTGAGTCTTTCACATGGGAATTTTATCCTTTTTTTTTTTTTTTTTTTGAGAGTGAGAGAGACAGAGAGAGAGAGAGAGAGAGAGAATTTTAATATTTATTTCTTAGTTTTCGGCAGACACAACATCTTTGTTTGTATGTGGTGCTGAGGATCGAACCCGGGCCACACACATGCCAGGCGAGCGGCGCTACCGCTTGAGCCACATCCCCAGCCCGAATTTTATCCTCTTTTTAAGAATCATTGCAAAGACTGAGGTGGTGTTTTTTTTGTTTGTTTGTTTTGCACTTGCTACTTTTCAAATGTCTTTACCTTAATATGCCAGAATAACACCTTTTTAATCTTTTCATTTCTCCCTATTGGAAATTTCCTAGAAATTTCACTTATTAAAAACTGAGTTGGTGGCTGTAGAAAGAACTGGGTTTGTAGCTGCGGAGTTTGGGAAAGGAGTTCATCCAGGTAAGGATGAAGACAAAAGGAATTGTAAGAAGGGGAGGAGGAGGAGGGTCAGGAGACCAGTCTCAGCCAGCTTGGAAATGGTAATTTGCAGTGAGCAGTTTTTTTTTTTTTTTAAGAGAGAGAAAGAATTTTTTTTTTTAATATTTATTTTTAGTTTTCGGCGGACACAACATCTTTGTATGTGGTGCTGAGGATCGAACCCGGGCCGCACGCATGCCAGCCTAGTGCGCTACCGCTTGAGCCACATCCCCAGCCCCCAGTGAGCAGTTTGAGTTCTAATTGCATTTTGAAACCTCAATGTGCCAATTGAGATTATTTAACCTTATAGCTGTGGTCTTCTAATTTAGTTCTAAGAAAAAAAAAAAAAAACAATCGTAGGGAATTTGAATGAAAGGTCATCTGAACTCTAAATTATCCTTGGAGTAAAGTGTCCATTGGTTAAGTGTGCATGACAATAGGCAATGATGTTTAAACACATAGCCAGCTGGAGTCCCCAAAGGCAAAATGTTCTGGCAAGCCTTAGCCATTGAAAACCCCATTGTTTTGTATTCATCTCTTGAGAGCAAAAGAAAATTCAATAGGCCCAGTTAATCTTGCTGTTTGAAACCAGCGGTGCTTTACTACTAAGCTGCATCCCCAGCCTTTTAAAAATTTTTTAATTTTTATTTATTTATTTTTTGAGACGGAGTCTCATTAAGTTGCTGGAGTTGTCCTTCAACTTGCAATCCTCCTGCCTCAGCCTTCTGAGCTGCTGGGATTATAGGCGTGGACTACCTCACCTGGTTTATTTTAGCTCTTTAAAGATGTTCATACACACACATACACAGAAAAAGAAAAAATAAGGAAAAGAGAAAAACCATTTACAGAGGTGTGAACCAGAGTACTTATCAGAATCAGTAAGATGCACTGTCTTTTTATGTGGTGCTGAGGATCGAACTTGCCAGGAAAAATCAATCCTTTATAGTCCCAGAAGGGTTGCAAGTTCCTTTATTAAGGCAGTTTTATTCAAACCAGATTCCAAATAAAGGCATGGAATTTCTACCAAAAAGCAGCAGCTCATCCTGAGAAGACACGTGGGGCAGAAAAGGTGAGCCAAGGAAGAGGAAATCACACAGGCCTCAAGTGGGTACCACACTCAAATCCAAGGGCTGCAGATTCTTTCAAAGAGGATCTCGCTTTGGATCCTACTTCTGGCACCACAAATTATGTCACCCTGAGTAGCAGAAGAGATTCTAAAGAAAAATGAGTCTAGTTGGAAATGAGCAGGCAATTATAATCCAGGATATATGTGTTATGACAGATAAGCGTATCCAAGGAAGCTAGGGCATAGCTGGGGCAGGGGCTTAGTGCTAGAGTGCTCGCCTAGCATGTGTGAGGCACTGGGTTTGATCCTCAGCACCACATAAAAATAAATAAAGGTATTGTGTCCATCTATAATTTTTTTTAAAGGAGGGGAGCTAGGGCAAAGGAAACTTTTAAAGGTAAAAAAAGGGTTCATATGGGGCTGGGGTTGTGGCTCAGTGGTAGAGTGCTCACCTAGCATGTGTGAGGCACTGGGTTCGATCCTCAGCACCACATACGTAAAAAATTAAGATATTGTGTCCACCTAAAACTAAAAAATAAATATTAAAAAAAAAAGAAAAAAAATGGGGGAGGTTTTCATTTAATCTGTCCAGAGACAATGTTCATTAGCCGCAGAGGCTCATTGAAGGAGCTGAAGCTGAAAATTACTAATTGGCAACATTCATATTGCTGGAAAAAAGCAACTTTTTATTGATTTTTTTTTGTGTGTGTGCTGTCAGAATTCTTTTAATACTATTATCAAAAGCATTTTTGCATAATGAACTTCAGAGAGTGTCACAGTTTTCAGACATACAAATATGAGACTACCCACCTTTCTCACTTTCTGGCTCCATATTGATCGGTTTTGTTGGTACTAGAGACTAAACCCAGGGGTACTTTATCACTGAGCCACATCCCTAGCCCTTTTTGAGACAGTGTTTTTAAATTTCTGAGGCTGAACTTGCAATCCTCCTGTCTTAGCCTCTTGAGTTGCTAGGGTTACAAGTACCACCATGTTCAATTTCCATGTTGGTTTTGATCTATTGTAGGAATTGATAGTTTTCACAATATATTTGGGTTTTTTTGTGTGTGTGTTTGTTTGTTTGCCTCAGCCTCTCAAGCTGCTGGGATTATAGGCATGCACCACCACACCTGGCTAAATACATTTTTATAAGTGCACACACAGAGGCCAATGCAGAGAAAGATCTAGAAGGGCTTACAGCACACTGACAAAAAAACTTTACAAACCCACTGTATGCTAGCACAGTGCTGAGTACCAAAAAAAAGTTTTACAGAGAATTCTAGGTATACACAATCGTGAAAATTATCTGTGGACTCTTTCGTGTTGCTTTAGGTGATCTGATCGTGCAAAAGTCTTACAACATCTGGTGCATAGGTAGGGCCGTTCTCCGCTGTGCTTCCTTTTGTGGCGTCGGAGCTCATCTGAGCGGGTGAATTTCCATGTGCATCCTATCGCATTGCATATATAGGGCTTATCCCCTGAAACAGAGAAAAGAGAGGCTTTTAATACGTCAGGGTCAGGTGGGGCAGGGATTTTGAAAGTGAAGAAGGAAAATGTCGAGCATGTTGGGGTGGGAGAGAGACAGACGAGAGGACACTGGGGGGGGTGAAAGTGGAAATGCTGATAGGCAACATGAATTGGAGGAAAACTGTGAAGGACAGAAAGAAAAATAAAACAGAAGGGAGGTAGAGGTTAACAGGAAAGTCAGTGGGGTGTAGGAAGAGTGAAGGAAGGGGCATGCCTACCAGGTATTCCATGAAGTGACAGTCCCAGGAAAGGTAGAGGCAAGAGCCTCCAAGACAGGCCTGGTGGTAAGTGCCTAGAGTCTCAGGCCAAGAGGTGGGGTGACAACAATCTCAACCAATCCCATAGTTGTGTAAAAATACAAATCTATAGCCACTTGCCCCTCCCCAACACTGGGGCCCTCACTTACCAGTGTGTTTGCGCTCATGGATTTGGAGGTGGGAAAACTTTGTGTAAGATTTCCCACAGTCCTGGTAGGTGCAGGTATAGGGCTTCAGAATGTCAGAATTTTTCTGAAACTGATATCTCTGAGTCTTATTTTCTGGGAATTGTCCCTGAATCAAAGGGGAGCTTGAATCGTTTAGGAATCCTGGGTATGGTAATGATGAGGACTGATGGGGCATCATCTGACCCCTGTAGAGGGTCTGGTCACCACCAGGGATTGCCATCTGATCGCCATAGAGGGTCTCGTCACCAGCACCGGGGATTGCCATCTGATCGCCGTAGAGGGTCTCGTCACCAGCACCGGGGATTGCCATCTGATCGCCGTAGAGGGTCTGGTCACCACCGGGGATTGCCATCTGATCCCCGTAGAGGGTCTGGTCACCACCAGGGGTTGCCATCTGACCCCCGTAGAGGGTCTGGTCAGCACCGGGGGTTGCCATCTGACCCCCGTAGAGGGTCTGGTCAGCACCGGGGGTTGCCATCTGACCCCCGTAGAGGGTCTGGTCAGCACCGGGGGTTGCCATCTGACCCCCGTAGAGGGTCTGGTCACCACCTGGGGTTGCCATCTGACCCCCGTAGATGGTCTGGTCATCACCGGGGGTTGCCATCTGACCCCCATAGAGGGTCTGGTCACCACCTGGGGTTGCCATCTGACTCCCATAAAAGGTCTGGTCACCACCTGGGGTTGTCATCTGACCCCCATAGAGGGTCTGGTTACTATTGAGATTTGCCATCGGACCCCCATAGTAGGTCTGGTCACCACTAGGGGTTGTCATCTGACACCTATAAAGGATCTGATTACTACTTGCCATTGTCATCTGACCCCCACAGAGGGTCTGGTCACCACTGGAAGTCATGGTATAGTCCTCAATCAGAGTCTGAATACCCCTGAAGGTCATCACATGGCCCCTTTTAAGAGTTGTTGGTTGGCTTCCATAGAGAGTCTGATTCTCACTGAGGGTCATCATCTGTCCTCCGCACAGGGCTGTCATCTGGATCTCACTGAGAGTCTGATTACCTATTAATGTCTTCTTTTGGCTAACTTCACTAGAGATTGTCATCATGCTTGCAGTGACAGTAGTTTTCTGGCAATCAATGAGTGATGTCTCTGGGGTATCAGCGATATTCATCATCTGGAATTCTGCTGAGGATTTTATCTGATCAAAGGATGTCATTTTTGGGTTCATGGACAAAGTCCCACTTAGTTCTCCAAGGAGTGTATCAAGGGCTTCACTAGGAGGAATCTGCTGGGTGAGGACCATTCCAGGGATGTTAGAACATACAGAAGTCTCCATTGAAGGCCTCCAGGAAGGCATTGATTGACTCTGGGTGGACTCATGAAGTCTGCCCTCACCAGAGATGGTCAGAGGCATATAGAGCTGTGGCTCTGGCACTGCTGACATTTTTTCCATGTCCTTATAAGATTCAGTGAAGACCTGGAGAAGCTCCTCAATTTCTTCAATTGTCTGGAAGAAGGAGTTCATCTCTTTGCTATTACATGATGAAATGAGATCTTCAGTTGTGGGATCCTGAAAAAGGAAAAAAAAAAAAAAAAAAAAAAAAGAAGAAAAGGTAAGAGTCTATCCCAGCTTTAATCCCAATTCCACAAACTCTTCCCCATCCCTACTGACACTATCTAGCCCATTCCACCATCATCTCATGCCTTGAAGCCTGAAACTGCCTCAAGCTGGTACAGTCTCCACACAAACAGTCAGATTAACATCTCTAAAATGCAAACTCCTCCTATGCTCTTCCTGCCGAGTGCTCATCCCAGAGGCTTTTCCAAGGATGCTCTCCCTTCCCAAACATCTTATTAGGGACTCAGTTAAATGAATGAACTTTCACATTTCTCATCTCATTTCATTCCTACCATAACTCCAGGATATGGGAGTTATGATTAATACCATTTTAAAAATTAGTGAAGTGACTTGGGCCAGGTGGACTCCAGAGGCTGAGACAGGAGAATTTCAAGTTCAAGGCCAGCCTTGAACTTAGGGAGACCTTGTCTCAAAATAAAAAATAAAAAGGACAGGAGACATAGCTTACTGGTAAAGTGCCCCTGGGTTCAATCCCCAGTATACACACACACACACACACACACACACACAAAAAAAAGGCCAGAAAAATAACAAGTGTTGTTGAGAATGTGAAAAAATTGGAACTCTTCTATACCATTGGCAGGAATGCATAACAAAATGGTACAATTACAGTATGGCTATTAAAAATAGAATTACCATATGATCCAGCAATCCTACTTCTCAGTATTTACCTCAAAGAATTGAAGAAAACAGGGTTTGGAGGAGGTATTTGTGCACCCATGTTCATAGCATGGTAGATAAAACAGATGAATTAATAAGTAAAATGTGGTATATACAAATAATGGATTTTTTTTTAGTCTTAAAATGTAAGAAAATGATGACATATGCTATAATGTGGATTGACCTTGAGGACATTATGCATCATGAAATAAACTAGTCACAAAAAAAAGACAAATACCATGTGATGTCGTTTACATAGCATACTTCACAACAGTCAAATTCATGGGAGCCAGTGTGATGGTGGTTGACCCTGTGATGGGGGAAGGGAAATGAAAAATTACTCTTTAGTGGATACAGAAATTCTATGCGATAAAGTCCTCATTATAATCAACCTCCAGTCAGGCCCAGATTGCAAGTTTGAGGCCAATCTCAGCAGCTTGGTGAGACCCTGTCTCAAAATAAAATTTTTAAAAGTGGTGCGGGTGTGGCTTAGTGATGAAGCTCAACGAGTTTAATCCCTAGTACGGGAAGCGGGGGGAAATCGAACTCTAATATAACATCTTTCTTTTGTATTTCCTCTCCAACCATTTCTCCAGCGTACTAGTGTAATTCCTGTCTACCCCTCCCCCCACCACCACTGAACTGGCATCTCCTCTAAGCCCGAGAACTCTATTCGTCAAGCAGAGCTGCCAGATACCGCAGTGAAACCGAACCAAAGAAGAATTTCTGATTTCCACACCACCGGCTCAGGATCTGCCTCAGATCGCTAAGGCTTCAGGTTCTCAGGAAAGCAGATGGGATCTATCCCAGATTAAAGGGATTCTTAAAACAATCAGTCCTATCCACAGATAGGCCTCCGTCTCTGGCTCGCTAACTGTATGTCCTTTTTATTTTTTTTGAGTCAGGGTCTCCCTAAATTGCTTAGGACCTCGCTAAAATGCTGAGGCTGGCCATGAACTTGTGATCTTCCTGCCTCAGCCCTCCAAATCGCTGGGATTACAGGAGTGCAACACCTCGCCTGGCCCTAACGTGTTTTTAACTGAACCCTCCCAGGTCACTCTGACTCATCTGCTTGGGGTTCTGTTCTGCGTATCCTTCGGTGCCTTCTACTCACAACGACGTTTGCAGATGCCCAGCACCGGGCCACAGTTTGGGACTCCTGTGGGCAGTCAAGGCCTCGACTCTGGCCTCAAGAGGCCTTCAGGTGCTTCCGACATTGTCTGGTGCAGACCCAGTTTGTTTGGTGGAAGGTATTTCCTGGGCAGGGCAACCATGTCGAGGTGATCCATGAACGTGACCCAGAGTAAAGGATCCATTTCGTACACCTCTGCCTCGTCTTCCCGCATTAACCAACCCGCCAACTTGGGAGTTTTTGATTTCCCAGTCTGGGACAAACCACCTTTTGCCCACGGATTTGAAGGCGTAGACTCACCAGAAGTGGATCCAGAGTTCCAGCCCAGGCCTAAGCCCTGCGAGGCCTGTGCACGTCGAGGCCTGTGCACGTCGAGGCCTGTGCACGTCGAGGGCTGCGCACGTCGAGAGCTGCGCCTACAGCCAACAGAAGAACTCGCACTGGGAGCAGGGCGCGGTGCTGGGCCCTTTTATCGCCCTGAGGGATGCTCTGGGTTCCGGATTCCCTCCCCCTTTCAACCACGCCCTCCAGGGTGGAGCCCACCATCAACTCGCGCCTTTTAAATTTCCATTTCAAGACTTCAGGACGCCAAGAGTGATTGTATTACCTACCTGAGGCACCTCCAGACCAAGCTGTAATCCTTTCCTGCGATCCCACTGCGGGGTGAAGCAATTCACATTAATTGGCCATTTCATCTCAACCACAGTCCTAGGAGGTACATTTTATCTTGGTCATTATGTGACGCGTAAACTGAAGATACTGAAACAGTTGCTGAAGGTCACAAAAAGAGAGAACCTGGATTTGAACTCAAACGGTTTTGCTCGTGTCTGTACTGCATTAAATACACAGCCTCAAACTTCTGGCGCAGTGCTCAGCCGCTCGATTATGCAGATCCCATCTCTTTGACCGCTGTAAATTTAATCAAAATTTATTCTAGCGTGAAATCCTGAGGATTCGATCAGATCTCCCTAGAAATGATAGTGGCTTCTTCGTCACCCCCCACCCTAAGTACTGGGGATTTAACTCACCTCCCCAATTGTATTCATTTATCAGTGCTGGGGATTGAATCTAGGGGTACCGTACCGCCGAGCAATATCCCCTGCCCTTTTTATTGTATCTTTTAAATTTTGAGACAGGGTTTTAGGAAATTGTCTTAATTTGCGATCATCCCTTCCAAAGCGACTGGCTAATACTTTGATGTTCATCTATTCCTGGTCCTAAGTCTTAAGAGATTGTTTCAAATCAGCAGGAAAGGCACAATCAGAGTCACATGACTGACCTCTGACCCCCCTGGTGGCTTTTCTCCAAGTCTATGGTAGGTGCTGGCCAAAGCTGAAGGTTTAGAAATAGATTTCCTTTTTTTCTTTCTTTTTAAAAATATTTATTTATTTTTTTAGTTTTAGGTGGACACAATATCTTTCTTTTCTGTGGTGCTGAGGATCGAACCCAGTGCCTCAAGCACGCTACCACTTGAGCCACATCCCGAGCCCTAGAAATAGATTTCTTTTAAAACTGTTTTTCACGGGGCTGGAGATGTGGCTCAAGTGGTAGCGTGCTCGTCTAGCATGCGTGAGGCAATGGGTTCAATTCTCATCCTCACATAAAAATAAAATAAAACAAAAAAATAATTACTAAAAAGAAAAAACTGTTTTTCTCACTAATTCTTAAAAATTCGTCCTATACTCCCAGGAATGCATGCCCCAATTAGATGTCTGGCCCCTCTACCAGCTCTGTATCTCAGATTTTCTGTCTACTAAATTTTGGCTATCGCCAAGGTTGCACACAAGGCTGGATATCTGAGGGGCCAAGGATTTAGAAAGGGTCCCATCTGGCCAAAACTTTTGCAATGCCAGATGTGGTACTAGCCATTGAACCCAGGAACACTCTACTACTGAACATCTACATTCCAGTCCTCTTAAAAAAAAAAAAAAAAAAAAAAAAAAAAAACACTGGTGGGAGGCAGTACTAGGATTGAACCCAAAAAAGTTTTGCCACTAAGCTATATCTTCATTCATTTTTATTTATTTTATTTTGAAACAGGGTGTCTCTAAATTGCTGAGAGTCTCACTATATTGCTGAGACTGGTCTAGAACTTGTGATCTTCCTGTCTCAGCTTCTTGAGTAGCTGGGATTACAGGTATGGACCATTGTGCCAAGATAAAAAATGTTCTCTTTGGTTTTAACCTCTTGCACATAAGTCCAGTTCTTTGCTGCCTCCCGCAACATACATCTTGTTCCTCAAGACTTGTTTAACATTTGGACCAACTTGCATGAAATTTTTGGATATATTGAGACATTTGTGAAACAATAAGACCTCTCACATTTGGAAGGTAGAGTATTTCTAATGATTTAGGGGAGTCTTTCTAATGGTATTTGTGTAACTTTCCACTGGCTGTAATGAAATGTTGCCACTGGCAAAGATGTAGCCATTTCTCATTCTTGGCCACCTTTGGTCTTATTTTTATGAACTCTCTTTTCTGACTTTTCCTGATATTGCATTTACCTATGATCATACTCTCCCTTGCACCCTGACTACTTTGTCCCCACTCAGATGGTTATTTAACATTATAAAAATTTTAGCTGGGTGTGGTGACTCCCAGTGACTTGGGAACCTGGAGGTAGGAGAATTGCAAATTCCAGACCAGCTTCAGCAACTTGGTAAGGCCCTAAGCAA